GGCGCTCTGCGCCTTCAGGCTTCGCGTCTTTTGCTGTGGGTGTTCCCAGTTTCTGCAGGGTGGTTTCCCCAGAAAGCGTGTTTTTGGGTAGATCTGTTGAGGCCTTGTGTGCATTCCTGAGTTTTCCGCCTGCGGTGATAAAACGCGTAAACCTTCCTCGCGAAGCTAAACTGGAGTAATAAAGAGGGAAAGCGAAAAAGCGGTTGTACGGGACGATTCGGAGGGGTACTGAGCTGCCTGAATCTCCTTCGTAGGCTCTCGCTGTACGATGCCACTTGTCACGTTGCGCAAGAGATTGCTGAGAAAATCCAGGAGCGTAACCGGTACCAAAGGAACGGTGAAAGTACAGCAAAGGTATTGATCTTCCAAAAGTTCCCATTTTGAGAACGTGGATTTTTGGTTTGGGTTTGCCTTTACGCGTTGTGAATACTAGTGGAATATTAAATTTGCGCAAATCCAGCGTGTCTAAGTAAGTCCTGAATTTCCTGCCTCTCTGGCCAAAGAAGGAAACTTGAATAATGCCCTGGAAGGATAATGCTTTGCTCAAATTAAGTGGTTGGGAGCAACGTGGGGAAGCGGGTGATGTTCCACGAACTGGATTAGCCAGGGGAACAGGCTGCTTGAATTCAGCATTGCTGCAAGCTGGGCATCAGCAGATTCAAAGTTTTTTTTAATGGTAAGAAGCTAGTACTTACAGTACATCCTTTCAGATTCCTGCAAAGAAGACAGAAATGTAATTCTTAAATTAGTGGTAGCTTTTTAATATCACAAACATATTTTTGGGTTTAACAGTAATAAGTCTCTTCTGTATGGAGCATTACTGGTTTTACAGAAAGGGAAGTGAAGAGAACCTTGGAAATGTTGGGCACGCGCTACTGACTGCTCAGGGCTGTCGCTGCCAGAAGCAAACTGGATATCTGAAAAGCTAAGAGATGTTGTGATGCGTATGTCAGCTTCTATGTACTCGTGACATCTGAATGAGAAGCAAACTTTACTGCTTCCCCATATATTTTTAGGTTCACCACCTTTTCACACTTTCTGTTTAAAATATTAAGTAAAGTGAAAAGAAAAAAGAAGGATTCTCAGGAGGCAGCTGTCTTTAGAACTAAAAGCCTAATCCTTGCCTTCCAAAACCATAGGAGCCTACTTGATTGCACACCCTACGAGTTATGACGTTAACTTTTCCCTTGACTGCACTAAGGGGAACGTGCATGCGAGTTATTCTTCTGTAAGAATTTCCCTTTCTATAAGGGTTGTTCTTTTGCAATAATTTGCATAATTAAAAACACAGAGTGATGCATTTGGTAGACTGTCTGCCCTTTATTGCAGGGCTGTCATACGATGTGAGATTCCTGAAGCTTCTTTGCCGGTCTCGTTTCTGGTAGCTTTTAAAATAAAATGCCATTTTTGAAATGCTGGAGAGAACACTGTAGGCTTTTAAAAATAATCAGTGCTTTTAGTGAATGACTCAAATTTGGCATAAATTCAGAAGAGGTTTCAGGAGACCCAAATAAGCATTTTTGAAGTGACTGGGGAGAAACTCTTTCTCTAGCTGTAGAATTGAAAACGGAGGGAGCATTTAGAGGTAGTGATTAAACTGTCTAGTTTCAAAAACACCACGTATTTGAAACTGTGCAGATATATTCAAGTGATAGAAGACTAACAAAAACCCAGTTACTACTTAATTAATCTATATTTATAGAGGACAAAGTTCTCTGCTGTGCATCATTGTTGTTTGTGACGTGTTTAGAAAAAAAAAAGGTTGTATTAGTGTTGTTTGAAGTCTTTCTTGTACCATAACTCTTCTAGGTTATGTTTTATGGAAACATTACACAGTTGACTTATTTCTTCATAAAATCATTTGTTCCATGCTCTTATGTTTTCCAAGTGCAATATCCCTTAATCCATTAACAGTTAAAGATGAATATTTGGCAGTGTTTGATTCTACTGTAAACAAGTTTCCAACAAGGAAAGAGCTGTTTTCATAACAGAAACTCATGTTGAGAAATCCGTGGCTGAGCGATCATATATTCTACGATTAGCAAACATTAACAGAGAAAAAGTCTTTGTACGATATTTGCCTGGTGGGAAGAATGTAAACAGGTTTTTATTTTTTATAGTATTTTGCCATTAGCGTGGCTAAAAAAAACCTCCGTGCTTATTGCTGAATAAAAATAGAACGTAAAAGTTGAAATGGAAAAAAAAAAAAAAA